CCATCTACGGAGAGGAAGAGTGAGGGGAGGGGGGAGTACCCACTGAGTTAGTCCATCTACGGAGAGCAGAAGTGAGGGGACGGGGGAGTACCCACAGAGTTAGGCCATCTACGGAGAGGAAGAGTGAGGGGAGGGGGGAGTACCCACTGAGTTAGTCCATCTACGGAGAGCAGAAGTGAGGGGAGGGGGGAGTACCCACTGAGTTAGGCCATCTACAAAGAGCAGGAGTGAGGGGAGGGGGAGTAACCCACTGAATTCAGCTATCTGTGGGTTTTAGACTTAACTTTGTCAAGGGGAGTGTCCTTAGCAATGTCAGGGGAAATAACCATTGAAGCCACTCTTGGAGAGTTGACTAAATAATGTCAAGGAGGAGTAACTGATTGAAGGCAAATGCAATGAGTCGACTTACATATATCAGGGAGGTGTAGAGTGAAGAGATACAAAACACCCTTTTCAATATTAACAGGCAAGACTCTAACAGGTGGACTTTGCAATGGTACATTAATGTTGTGTATAAATTTAAAAAGTGAATATCTTGTATGCAAATATTTTTTAGGTTATTGCTGTCAAAATAATTTCCCTCTCCACTGCTATATGTATACTTAAAATAATTCTCTGGAAAACACTGTCATACAGATCTGTACTTACATAGTGGAGTCAGGATAGAAGCCAAGTTCTGAATCAATAGACATCTCCCCTGAGCTAGGCAGCATAAGTTTGTAGAAGATGTTGTGGAACATCATATTTATCATCATATTTATACATGTATTTGTTTCAACACTGTTTCCATTATCAATGACGCACATGTTGTGATTACTATGACAGGCTTTGTTTTAACTGTTGTAGATAAACTTTGACACAGCCACTATTCCGTACCACCTGAATGTACACCAAAAGTTTGGACAAGTGTGTCTTGGTTTCTTGACAGAGGATAACTGGTCCCCGGCAGCAACATCTATGGAGCAGATTGTCAACGCCCTGTTCTCCTTGCTTGCTCGGCCAGAACCACAAAATTCAATGGACCATGAGCTACTGAACCAGTACACCCATTACCTGACAAACTATGAGCAGAAAGCGCGTGAAAGTGCGAAACGCACACCTCGTTAGTGTCTGAAAATTAGCCTTCCAGACATGTGACTTTTGTATTGATACATTTGACAAAATATATTAACTCAAAGATGCAGTCCTACTGATTGTTGGGATAGTTCATCACATAAGAGATCTAAAGCCTTCTGATTATGTTTCAAGTATCACTTATTAATTAATGAGTTAGGCTGCTCATCAATATAAAAAGAGCATAAGTTGTGACATAACTGTCAAACACCTTCCCACAGATAAAATATAGTAAATATATACTTTATGCCAATCAGTATAGTCTCATGATCTCACAAGACTGTTTTCCAGTGTTAAAAATAAAATTTCAAAAAAATGAGAAAGTGTACACATTATATTTTGCTAATAATGTGTCCAATGCTATCTGGTTGTATGCTGTTGATGTTCCCTTTTGGTTACGTCAGATAAAAACCAATGTAAGGCATGATAAATCTGTAGTCAA